TCAATAAGTATAGTTTGCAGTGAAGAACGATGTTCCCCCCGTCCCACAGTTACTGTGTTCGATAGCAACGTCCACTGTGATTACCGGTGAATTCAATAGCTTGATCACTTGGGCATCCACTTCTGTTATTGCAGTTTCACCCTTTAAGTACATTGTGTAATTATCACGACAGAAGTACGCTATATAGTCATCATACTTGGTTATTGTCTTGTTTTCTTATCATTTCTCACTCGCAACCAGAGAATAACCTCTTGCATATGTTATCTAATCCCCGGCAAAACCGTATACTTGAATTCTGCGTCTGTGCTTGCATTCAGCTGCGCACATCGGGTATATGATACAATCAGCGCAGACTGACCTTACAAATCCTCTAGGTTAATTGTCATTTTCCTGGTTAATTGCGCACAATATTCAGCCATTTGGTGCGTACATTTAATATTCGACGATCTCACAAAATTTTTATTACGGATAGCCTGGGGCTTTTTGCATTCTTCAGGACGTGTATTTATTTTCAATTATTAGTAGTATTACATAGAAAAACGGCCTTCAGCTGACTTTTCCTTTCACCCAGTTGCTTAAGTCCGTGTGTTTATTACACACTTAAAACGGTCGATGTTTACAGCTGCCTTGTGCCACGTTGCTGAAATGTAAAGGCAAATGATGAAGTCGGATTGCGTGATGCCGAGCACGTTTATATGTCTCTTACGTGCCTTATCGCATATACCTTACTGAATTCAATTACCTTGGTGTAATATCTATTTTCCTCACGAAACCTCGGTCAACAAAGACTTAACTTTGTTTGATACGCGAACCAAGACTATCCTTCAATTGCGATAAGCTATCAGTCAATCATTTAGAGCCCCCGGGGCCAACGCTTTTTCTGGTTTAGTGATTTCGTACCTCTCAATTCCTTTTTGCGAATGTCACAATGTTTTGTAGTTTTATAATATGCACGACTGTACCTCGAGGCAACGCGAGAGCGAACTATTCAAATTATAGCATCGGCCAACATTGTCAGCGGGCTTCCTTTTAACATTTTGATTTAAATGTCACAAAAGTTGATGAATCTTAGATTGGCCTTTCTGTTAAATGTTACACTCTACTCGGCAAATTAACAACAGTAACCCATGATGTGCTCTCTATTTGTGTAAATATTTATTGCAGATTACCTCAACCGGAATAAAAAGGAGGTACATGTTCATACAGCTGTGTCACTACGCCAGCTGATTGTATTTTGAAATAAAAGTACTAGTATAACCAGTTTTTCTAGGACTAACATCGTTATACAGTGAACTATATGCCCTCGCTGACCTTTGACATGAATCAAACGTTCTACTTGTTATACTAAGTATACGTCAGCTGCCGAAATATCAATAACTGTCGATATCATGGTGTGTTTGTATAATAATGACGCAGGAAGCTTGTCTCCGCACGTTTCGAATTGCGTCGTGTTTGTTATCGTATTTCATCATTTATGAACAAAAAATGATTTTATTGAATCATAACAAGACCCGTATTGTTATTCATTTTTTAGCTGAACGCACCATATTAATACCGGTAACGCTGTGTCAGGCGTCCGGCGCGGGATTCTTCTAAAAAAATTATTTGTTTTTTTTTTTACAGTAGCTGCCGTGGAGAGTGGAGATGGAAATTTGTTCAAGAGAAGCCTATACCCCCAAAATTATGCAAATTAGCTACAAAAATGATTAAATGACTTCTACTATGCCAATACTTGGTCTACGTGGCTGATATAGGTAGTGCACATAGATTGACCTCTACCACCCTTGTTGATTACGTAGGTGATGATGTCTTCAATGGTTATGGTTAGTGCACTAATTTGCATATTTAGGAGCAAGGGTCGGACCACTCAATATTTGAGGGGGTCAGCTTGATAAGAGACATTTTAACTCTGGTGCCATCAAAAATAAAACAAATAAAATTGTTGCTTGAATATGACGCAGTTTCGCGGCATTTCTAGTACTGGGTATTGTATGAACATTCACAACGTGTTAACCAACACAATGCTGCGAATATTTATTGAATTGTAATCAATATGTATATGATTCACGGTCAATTAAAATAACGTGTAGACCTTTAAAGCAAGCTGACTAGTTTAATGTAAATAATGCATGTGATATACTGACAGGTTGCATGCTTGGAAGCGATTATTCTGATGATCTGTATACAAAGTGGATCCTTACGACGCACTAAGACAAGGTGGATTCTACCGAGGCGTGGAGAAGGGGAGAGACGTGGTTTGCTGTCTTGTGATAATAACACAATTTGTGATGTGTATAGAAATATTTTGGGGTAGGAATTACTAATTCGCCAGGGCGTGACTGTTTCACCAAAATATTTGCCCGTAAAAACGGTAAGCAGGAAATTAAGCGAATGTATTGTGCATCACAATACGTGATGTTGTGAAACATTTTGTTATGAATAGTTTTCTTGTTTTTGAAAGCCGATTAGCCCCCGGTAGTTTTAAAAAGAAAGTTTTAGACACCGATGTCCGTGTTGTTCAACAAGGTCAACTGAGACACAATAAACACGAACTTATATTCACATCGCTTTTAAAGGGGCGGTGGTTGCCACGAAGCGCGTGTTCGAATATCATGTCAATAATGCATTTTACACGCGTTGTATACGTAGCTACGAGTCCCATATCGAACAGACCGACAACCGCCCTGGATATCACCATCCATGATCAAATTGACTATCCGTTTTTAACTTGAAAAGTAAAAATAAAAAAATAAAAATTCCAAGGTGTGGAAGATAAATTAAACACACCAATTTATTTCATTCAAAACCATAACACTTTTATTTAAGTGTTGGCGATTTATACGCGACGTCGGAATGCCAGAATAGTTGAGAAGCACACCCTTATATGGCCCTCTCACCCAGGGGTTAGCAAGTGATAGCGCCCACAATCGGTCAACAAACATTACTTTCTTTTTTAACGATGTGTCTAAGCGAAGTACACAGACTATATTTTAATTTTTTTGCATGTATTCCAAATATGAACAATAATAATTAGAAACCATTTCATCGTCAATTGCCATAAACAGAGTTTTAAATATTGTGAACTCGAACGAAACTATCTCAATCTTTGGAAATTACAAATTAGAAAGGATATTAGCAAACTTAGGAACATTTTTCTAGTTTGTTCGTAAAATGTTATTGCTACACACTGATGGAAACTTATATTTTCAAAGATGCAATAAACTATATTATAATTATTAGGTTCCAATGATGCTTTGTGATAATGCACAAACCTGATAAAGTTTTACTCAAAATCTGTGCATATTACTAATATGTTACAGTGTTATACACTGCCATTTTTTTTCTGGGAAGCCATAAAAAAACATATTTTATTTACATGTTTTAGTTTTTAATTGTTGACACAAAAACATGCAGTCAATATCGATACTTACAGTCGCCATGATAACTTCTACTGCACGCTATTATAATGCTAACAAATTATGCGTAAAATGAACGATTCTCCTGGTACTATAATTAAAGTCAACGTGTTTTACACACGGTGTTAATATCATACAATGCATGTAATGGTAAATTGTCAAAAATTCATACAAAACTAACATTATAAGAAACTGCAGTTTTATTTAGTGTTCATAAATTTACATCGATCACGGTGAAGTGCTTTCCACTTTGGTTGGAATCGCGTATAATGAACAGTGTAATAGTACTGATGAGATAGATAAGTCACTTTCAGGTTAAAGTGCAAGAAATAATTTAAAATTAAATCATGGTTATTATGGTAACTTTAATATTAGTTGTTAAAGCAAAATATCAGTACATTTCAGGGCATTAATCTCTAGTTACGGCACGTCAACTCACTCAAAAAACTGATATAAAGCACATTTAAAACGTGTACAATTTTAACAGGATTATTCTGCGTATATTCTAGTGCGAACTACTAATATGTACACAATTATTCAAACAATTGCCAGCGAATGCGATTTGTAACACGAAAATATAATCCAGTGAATCAATACCAGATTGTACTACGAATATATACTGCAATATGTAATATATTGTGGGGGAAAAACGCTGATATTTCAGTGTCGCTTTACTTTCGCAAATACAGGCGTATAAGAACGAGCAAGAGGTTTATGCAAAGTAATAAAACAACTTTTGTTTATATAGTTATTAATACAGCTTTATTGACTTATTGTTTTGTTTTGTTTTTAACTATGTTGACTTTATCATTTGAAAGTTGATAATATATTTCACCAATTAATAAATAAAAGTGAAAATCGTAATTTTCAAAACAAATAATAGTCTCGCTACCTTAAAGGCAAGAGTAGGGTCTCAGTTAAATAGCTGATCTTTGACCTGATATATGTTACATTCTATGCTAATTAATGCAACGTAAAATAGAGATAATGTATGTAATATGTATTACTTTATTTCATAACGTTTACGGTCACCAAATACAATACAATGCAACAACCACTGAGATACCGCAATATGATGCGTGTTCATCTACAATAACTTTCACAAAAGCATATAGTGTCAGTGCTATCTAGATTCACCTGACAAGTTATAGGTACTTTTAGGTGTATCTAGTCGATGTGATGTCACATAGAACTAGTTAAAGGGCGGTGGTCGTTGCGCCGCGCATACGCGACATTTGTATTGATAAACACTGATTTTCCCACAATCCAATGAACTATTTTAATGGAAATCACATCAAGTTTTGACCTGGGCGTGACTTGAACTGATTACCACCGGTGACTCTTTTGATACCTTCCAAACACCAGAGAAATTACCTAGCTTGGTAACGTCTCAGTTTGTAATGCGCAACGGTTACAGTCGCCATCTTTGTTTATATCTCACACATGCGTAGATCGACGACCACCGCCCTTAAAATATGTAGAAAATAAGTCATAACGGCAAAGATTGATTTTTACTCAGGCCAGGAATACCTGAGTTAACAGGTCACTTCATTGTAGATGTATTCATTCGTATGACGTTACCGGTTAGTATCTACCGCGTTCAAAATATTCAAATCCAACCAAATCTGTGTAGTCCGAGGGAATCTCGTCTTTCAATACATCATTCAGCTCGCAGAGATAACCATCGGTGTCACGTGAGCTCTTGATATTGAAGGAAAGACAGTCAGAGTTGGACCAACAGCTTATGGCGCAATGTATATGATGCCTGACATGGTGAGTGTCGATGACGTGGTTTTCTAAGTAATGGCCTTCGTCCCGGAAGTGTATGTAGTTACCATAGTAACCACCAGAGGTCAAGGGTTGAGTTGCAGCTGAAACACGAGCAAAAATAAAAAAAATGTTTAATAGTGTTTAGGTTTCAATCTACCGAATAAATATCATCCCTCCACTGGCCTGAGTTGATCTTTTCAGTTGATCTGTCAATGAAATTTACAATGTTTTGTTCAAAGACACGTGTATGGTCATTTTACATCCCTCTTGAATTATTATTATTATTATTATTGGTGGTTTGAATTTTAGATCGAACATATCAATTGATAACTTAGACAACTTAGTTAAAAGAGTGAAAAACAATAACCGTTGTTTGGGTAGCAAAGCGTAGAAGGGGTTGTGTATGTAGTAAACTCGAGAAGTTATGAATGGATTTGCGTAATAAAAACTCTGGAAGGTTGCATTTAACAAAAGAACAAATCCATTGTTTTTTCGGTTGAGATTGAGACCGGTTGAATTGAAACAGCAATATCATGACATTTTTAGAAGGGGCTTCCATTGAAAACAAGAACAATTCGGTTAAATGATTGTTGCCATAGAAGCAACAAAGTTTTCGCTGTTCGTTTATTACCAGATAACAATAATATCAAGTTTTCATGAGTGGTGCAAAGGGAGGGTAGAGAAATTAACATAACAATCTCGGTATGCTGCCCTGTTCTAAACTTTTAATAATTTTGAAGTTCAGTTTTACAGGTATGGATGAAATCATGCGACTATGATGTCATACTTTACCCATAATCCTTTGCTGGATACTCAGGATGTGTACTGCTCAATGCTCATGAAAATTTTAATGCTTAGAGTGATATAAAAAGCTGTAAATAGGGATATTGTCTGATTCGTTGAGTCAATAAGTCTACTCAAGACTCAATTTGATTATCTTTTTTTCCTTAATGTTAAAGAACAATGTAGAGGTATCATTGAGGATAAGGTGTATCAATGGCGGGTATCGAAGTAAAGATCTCATTTAGTAAAATACATTTCCTATCGATCAGTTATAATATAATGCAACACACAAATATGTAAATTTATGAATCTTACACAAACAGTAATACGCCACTTCCATATACTTGTAGGTCCCCGGGCATGGATCGGAAGAAATGTAATCATCCCAGTGAACTGATACCTCGCACGATTGTTCGTTGTCACACTGATTGTGCAACGCCTCTAGGACATCCGGTATGGTACAGGAAGTGTCACGATAGTAGGACGGGATATTCCGGCGGTGCGTGCAGACATCTTCTCCTAAACAACAAAACATAATGTTCCGTTGTAATGTCACCTGGGTGTACTGAATCAGTGTATGCTAGACGACGGTAGATTATATGATAATAACTATAAGAACGTTTTGATGGATATATTTTGGTATGCTATTACGTTATATTACGTTAGCACTGTCGACGCAATTAAGACGCAACATTCTCATTGGTCGATCGCTACCATGTGCAGCCCTATTATTAGTACCATAACTTGGGACCAATGCACGAGCCTACGAACAAACATGTGTGCGCGCGACTCCTCAACTTCATTGCTCCACAAACCCTAAATTATGTGTTTATGTTCGTATGTCAATTGCTCGTAAACTGCTACTTGTAATTGTAATACTGAAACAGTTGTCCATGACGCTCTTACCGGACTGATGATTTCTATTTTCACAAGGTATCATTGCACATATATTGAATTGTTCGACAGTCCATTGTATATAATTGAAATAAATCTGTCCTGCCGAACGCAATGTCGGGTCCTGACCCTTCTACAAATACAATATGACGCTGTGATGGATTCAATATTGTTGCTATGACACACTGATGTCAGAATTGAACAGTTTAATAATTAAAATTAAATTGCGGGGCTTTTTGTTGAAATGAATTTACTTTCGAAAAGAGGTTTACATCATCGTGTGATAATATCAAGCCACGACGTCATAAACACCTCTAATTCTGGTAATATAACACTCAATAATGTGCAGTGCATCGTCCTTTATTCTCTAAATAAAAAAACTCGACAGTGTCTCGTCCATTGCGGGCATCCGAACCATTTTATTTTATAATAATGAACACTGCGTCTACCTATATTCTACAAATATACGGATTAAGGTAGCGAGACTATTATTTGTGTTGAAAATAACGATTTTCACATTTATTTATTAATTGATGAAATGCACTATAAACTTTCATATGATAAAGTCAACATAACATAGAATGCCATGTAAGTTGGTTAAAATGTATATTTTCTGAAGGGAAGCAAGGCAGCCTCAGTAGTGTTTTCCAAAATCAACAATACAGGTTTAATCTGTGTGCCTATAAGTTTCAAAGATAAACTCAAGACAAAGCAATGTTAGGATGTGTTATCAGTAGCTATCTGATACACAATGAGTGTTTCCAAACATTCGAGTGGTTTGTCTCCGCCCCTGTTTGTTTCACAGATTAGTCATTTGCATATGAATGTGTCAGACACAAGGTCACACAGCCACT